AAAATCTGATGACCCAATAAACCAAATTGGTAACACATTTAGATTACTTCTATAGGGAATGAAATCGAAAACCCCTTGAGGATGGATGTTTGATTTTAACAAAGCAGTGTGAGCACAATGATGTGTCAAAAGAGTATAAGAACTCAGAAAGGAATTCTTCTCTTTTAAACCATACATACACCGATAATTAAGAATTGGCTAGGATCCATTTTACTATTAAAATCTTAAAAGTAAGATGATATAGTAGGAATGTTTACATTTTAAATACATCATTGCTAAAAACTATATTAAGTCAAGTCAAATTAAAGAGACCTAAATCAGAGTGAACATATATTTTATTCTCCTGAAAATCATCCAAAAGTACGCCCTGTATAAGGGTTGTACATACCCCCAAATGGTGTCTGTGTCTGTACATATGCACAGATATTGTTAAGCATTCAAAAATATACTCTAGCTTTTGATTTCCAGGAAAGTACAATACTTAACACCTTTAAGTAACACTATTTATGAACTAAGTAACAAAAATCACCCATCAAACCAATTCACTGTGTTTGGGGAATTCTTATGGTGGCCAAAAGGAGTACTAAGCAAAACCACTCTCATTAGGAGGCTGTAAGTTGCCCTCCATAAGCAACAGTCTTTCTAGATTAGGTAACACAATTTCCACCCTCCGTGAAGCAAGGACACAAAGGGCCTGAGTCATTCGGGGCCTAAGCACCTCACCCAAAGTCCTCTGCAGCTTCCCTGGGAGAGAATTCTTTCCACACACACATATGCCCCTGTGCTTTTCTCACCCTGAGCACTCTGCCTGGGTAAGGGGGAGCCACTCCTCAGTGTAAAGGTTGAAAAATCATCTTAAATGGTGGAACTGATGGCTCAGGAAATATGCTTAAATTTCAACGATGACATTCTAAATTGTGAAAATAGGAAGTAGATCTGATAATCACTGGTATCTTTTTGTTATAATACATTGCTCAGTCAACAAAAATGTATTAGGTGGTCTTGGATTTCAGAAGAAACGCATCCATGCATGTTTTTATCCATAACTGATATAAGTGGGTGACTTTTTTTTTCCTCTACAGACTGTCAGAAAATGGTGACCTCTTTGATGACCCTAAAAGAGTATAGATCATTTCAAGTCCTATTTCTGGCTGCAGAGTTACAAACTAACCAACCCTCTATTCAGCATCAAACTAGTTTCTTACCCATAGCAAAAAGCAAAGATTTTTATTCTTTTATTACATGTCCTTATGATTCCTTTTTCCTGATGATAATAGTAAATGCTGAAATATTCTATGTAAGTAAGTGTTGGGGTGGAAAAAGAGAGAAACTTTTAGTGCAAGTATTTATACCTTCAGCAATGAAAACAAGATACTATTGTCTTGCATGACCTTTCATAAGTATGGGATACAGCATTTTACACAATAGTTTCTTGGTTCATGCTTCAATTACTGACCTTTACTGTGTAGAAAATTAATGCAATTTTCATTGTAATCCATCTGTACAAATAAGGCCACATGGAAGGATGTCACATATGGAATCTAATACAAATAGGAAATGTCATCTGATTGCTGTTGGCTGAACTTGGCCATTATCTGTTTGTTCTGGGGTCCCTCGCAAACTACACTTGTAACAAGCAATTTCTTACATGGGCCATCAGGATAAGAAAGGAAGACTTCCTCTCTTTAAAGTTTAGCCTGTATACTTTGCTTCCTGAAAGCCAAAAAACTAGTTATCTGAAACTCCTATGCTATCATTGAAAGACCACAAAAGAAAAGAAGGCAGAATGGTGGGTTCAATCTAGATTCCAATGCACAGTGCCACCATGTACTTTTCACAATGAGAAGCAACAGTGACTACAGCGATGTCACATTGCTACAATCCCTAGTCCAGACAATAAAGAGATGACAGACACCAGAGCATGTCCTGGTCTGTGCGCCAGAGACAGCAGAGGGTGGAGGTACACTCATCTCCCGGGGAAGGGGATGGCCAAGGGGCCCAGGCAGCCTTTCATCTTCCACAGCCAACCCTGATGGTATCTGGTAGGGAGTGGTGCTGGCAATTAAAGAGTATCATTGTCAAGATGGATAGTTTGGCTAGAGAGGGGTTTCTCTCCTTTGCTGCTTTTGCACAAAATGGCTGTGTGTTTATAATCTGTAAACAGTTCCCCCTTGGCCCGGGTGCTTTACAGTTCCCAGAAGCATGGTCTGTCATGTCTAACATGCAACAGAAGCCAGATGAGCTCAAGGGGAAGATCTTTCAGACAGGCCACTGCGGTGGGGAGTCAGCCCCGCTCTGTGTGTCCAGGTTGGGACAAGCACATCACAGAGGTGGGGGCTGCTATGCGTGGATAAGAAAGCAGAAATCACTGCACATGTAGAGATTTGCACCTGACAAGTCTTGAAATTGAAGGCCCCTCTGGCTTAAATCCTCGAGTGAAGGGAGAGTGAAAAGATGAGGGTGAGCTGAAAAGCTTGCCTGTCTCCCCTACCAACAGAAAGGTACACACAGAAGTCAAACTTTTATTTCAGATTCATTGCTTAATGAGATTTCATGGAAATATGAAACCAGAGGATGAAACACCCACGGTTATGTTCTGGTTCTTCCAAAGCCCTTTTGAAATACTTTGACAACACTATCTCAAGGGCGGACTTCCCCGGGTGGGAGAGAGAAGCGTCCTATTGTCAGCCTTCTCCACATGGGGCAGGAATCTGGGCCCACACTAGGGTGAAAGGCAATGGCTCCCAGGCTCATCCGTGGAGTTCACCTGTTCTGCCTCTTCTCCCACTCAGCCTTGCCAAGGAGAACTCGAGCACTGGCCCAGCAGCTCTATCTCTAGAACTTCACGCTGCTTAGAGGAAGGTGAGACCTGGACGGCCACTGACCTAGCTGATGGCCTCATTTCGTTGCTCGCCAGGTGCAGAATACAGTATTTTCATCCACGGCCTTCTTATTGGGTGCTCTCCTGCATCAGACAGACCAGAGACACCTGCTCATGATTAACCCTAAAGGGTGGATGGGGTCCTCATCCGTGCATGGCTCGTTTAAACAGCCTTGGCCAGACAAAAATGCATCTTCTTCATTCTTGAGCTTTGGCTTATAAAAACGTAGAATTTTGCCTGGTGTGATAATGTTATATAATAAGAAACGTATATTTGGTCCTTGTCCCTGGCTCCTGGCCAGAGCTTGTGAAATTCTTGAAATTTTATATGTGAGAAGAGTGGTAGGAGTAGTTTTGTTATATTTATTTGGTTTTGTCCCAGGACCTGAAATAGCTCAAGATCTGAAAAGGTAAAAAGAGAAACTTTTGCTATGCAAAACAAGCTCCTTTTCATCACACTTGAATTAGTATGATTAGTTGGGGAACTTTGGGGGAGCCCTAAGGACAGGGAGCTGACGGTCAGGAGAATCTAATTAGAGGGCTGAAACTTGCATGCACATCGTGCCTAAGCCCCCTAACTTCAAGAAATGGGATACGGGCTGGAGAAGGGTGTGATCAACTGTGCCTGCCCCTGGAAGCCTCCCTCAGAATGACTGTAAAAGTAAAGCACTGTTTCACAGGGCTTCTGGGTCCTGAATATGTGCCAGGAGGGTGCTAAACCCAAGGGGCCACCGAAGCTCCCTGTCCCTGCTCTGATCTTTTCTGGGCATCTCTTCCACTTGGCTCTTCACAAGCTTACTTTCTAGTAAACCAGCAAGTGTAGGTCAACGTTTCCTTGGCATTCTGAGCCATTCCTGCAAATTGTTGAACTCAGGCAAGAAGTTGTGATAACCTTTACTTTAGAGCTGGTCGGTGGGAAGAACAGAGGCCCAGATTTATGTTCGGTTCCTCATATGGATTTAACACATGCATGGGTGCTTGAGACTTTTATTCTGTAAAACATCTCATCATGCATTAATGCTCAGTGATGACTATTCATATTCAATAAGCTTTATGCCCAGAAACTGCATCAAAGCATCAAGAAGAAAGATGCATCTGCATGATCTGTTCTCAAAAGGCTGTGGTTCCTCTTAAAATATTATACTGCATTATTTTACTATTAATGATCATCTTAGCACAACAGAGAAGATTTACCTGTAATCTATCCCCTTTGCTTCAAATGGCCAAAACCATCTGGTCCACTGAATTGATTGTAAGGCTCTCTGTGTCGTGCAGCCAGTGACTGCAAATTAATTTCTGTTCTATGGGCATTTATACTGCATACTTTCCCATAAGTTTCTCCCTTTCGCCCTTCACTCTCCCACAAGCCTGCTGTACGCTACGGTCACCAGCCCCATCCACCCATCGGTTTTAGGGGACTGGAAGTCTATTAAGCTAGAGGCAGCTCACTTGGCATCTCTCTTTATTCATTTAATTCCAGAAGGTCTGTCTGAAAGTGTAATGACAACAAAAGCAGCAGATTTGAGAGATTCTCCCAGGAGAAGAAAAAGGACAGATGTACACAGACATAGCTGCAAACGCTGCCAGCAACAGCTGGGAAAGTGACAGGCTCGGAAGTGGGTGACCACCCCACAGAGCGCAGACATGAGCCTAAAGGAGCAGCAATTTTGCTTGATTTACTTGCAACTTCCCAGGCTCCCTTTATCTACAAAGGGGAAGGCTCATCTTGGCTTCTGTCCAAGCTAAGGCTTCCTACCGGTGTGCTCTTTAGAACATTTCAGTTTTACCTTATGTTTTACCGTCTTTTCAATCTCAGTTTTTAAAATCTGAGGAATCACCCTGATCCCCGGAAAGATGCTCAATCATCATCTGCCAATTGATTAAAAAAAAAAAAAATCTTTTCAAGACGGGAAAGTTGATGCCTCCTCATACTATGTTTGCATAAAGAGACAAATGGGTATTAGAGCTGTTCCATTTTAAATATACACAGGATACTGTTTTTTTTTAAGTTAACAATATCACTGTTCACTCTATAATACTAAAAAAAGATGCAACTCGGTAAAGCACAATCTGCTACCAACCTCAGTGTCCCTTTGGGCTCTTTGAGGAGCACACTCACCTTGTCATCCTCCTCCTCCTCCTCCTCAATGTCCACGCTCTCCTGCAAAGAATTCCCACAGTTTATTAATAAAGCATCACCTGGAATTACCCAATGCAAATGAAAAGCAAAAGTATTTTTAATTTGTTTTACACACAGTTGAAGTATTACTATTTTTAAAACATAACCTCTTCAAAATGCTTTTAAAGTTCAGAGACACTGTTGCAAAACTATAAACAACATGAATAGTCTACATAAAACTGGTTACCTATAAATAAAGCTATTAGGCAAGTGCCCTCTGAAGGCATCCAGCCTCCAAAATGCCTTGCCGACTTATGCTTTCTGTAAACAGTTTTGTTCTCGTTCTGACAAATGAACCAACTGCTACGTTAAGTCTGAAAATACCATACTCCATTTGTGCTGGGCTCATGGTTATAATGACAGCTCTTTCCCTTTGGGGCCATTACTGCAGCATTAGACAGTAGAAAAATGCATTCATCTAAATACAATCCATCTTAAGGATAAGTTACAGGTTTCTGTGTGGGATCTTTGTTTTCTGTGGGCTCTGAGGGCAGGAGGGGCAGGTGCAGGAAGGAAGCTCAGTGCTCGGATGGCGACCTGCAGGTGCCTGGCTTTAGCTCACGAGATTATCAGCACCTATGCTGCCAACTGGCTGGTTCAGATCAGATTAGCAGTCATCCTAAATAGGCAAGCTTTTAGTCTTATCACTTTATGGTTTAAAAGCACACATAAGTTGGTGCACACAATTGAATGAGGCTTGTAACTAAAAAAAAAATTTTTTAAGCTCAATATTAGTAAACCAGGGTCCATTTTGAACCTTTAACCATGCAAAGGTCTGGCATGCTGGTTATTATTTTGACAGTGAAAAATATGTCAATATTATGCTCTTTAAAAGAAGTAACACTGAGGGATCCAGTGTTCTCTGCTACACTCCATAAAACCACTGGACATTCAGAAAGTCCCAGGGCTGGGACAGCCCTCCCTCCCAGAATCCCCACGCACTTCACATAATTGTTTAGGTGACACCCAGTGACTCTGTGGGGGGCCACTAACCCTCGAAATATGTTTATGTACAAATGACCATGTGTGTATCTACATGCATGAACATACATAAATGTACACACAAGCACATACATACACCCTGTAAAGAGATATCAGATATTCAGAGTGGACAAAATACAATCGGATGAAGCCCTGTAAAAATATTAGGCAATAGCATTGCGTATTACAGAAATTTCTTCAGAAAAATGCCCCTCATTTATACCTTGATAAAGCCTAGTCCTCAAAAGGGCCTAAAGTTTAAAGCCATTTCCTTATCAGTTGGTTCTATTGTCCTGTGAACATAGATCCATTCCTACTGTATTAAATAATCAAAATCAAAACAATTTTGAAAATACCTCAGTTTTTCTCTCCTGCCACCAAACCCATTTTTCTCACCTCTCCGTCATAAATGAAATCAGCAATACTCCCTAAATGACAACTATTTCAGAGATGAATATTTAAATAAGAAAATAAGAAAAAATACGTGACAATGGTTAGCATTTAAGCCTTGGGAAACCTGGTTATACCATCAGGAACGGCAAGATTCCACCATAAAGCTAATCTATAAATACAAATGTCTGTTCATTTAGAGCAGAAAAATATCCTCTGGACCTGGCTGACTGCGAAGGAACAGAAGAACAGCAGAGAGAGCAAGAGAAGTAGGTGCTGGAGGATGCCTGGGGCAGGACTCGCTTGTGCTTCCACAGGACAAGGACTTCAAGAATTCCAAGCCCAGTGCTGACACCCAAGAAGAGAAGCATCTATGTTCATCCACCACTTGATTGCCCCAGGAGCTGGCAGGCCTCAGGGATTCATTCTCCTGAGCCTTCAGACCACAGCAAGCTTTTGTGCTGCTGGCTGCCCTTGTAGAAAAGCCTGAGCCAGCTTTCCAGAATTTTCTGCATGCTCTGGAAAAGATCAGGGAGTCACCGTACATTTTCTGCAGTGTTTGAGGTGGTTTCTCCCTGGAACATCATAGAAAATCATGGAAACTATCGCCACAAAGCAAAGGGCATCTCACATGCCCAGAGTGTGCACTGACACTCAGGAACACAAGATATAATGAAGGAAGACTGCATATTTCTCCTCATAAAGGAGCTCAGTTGCAAAATCCTTGTGTGCAGGTCTACATCCACATCTCAAACAAAAATAGAACTGGGCACAGTTTGTTGGCACAACAGTTGCTTATGGTTGTTAGTACATTTTCCCTAGTGAAATGCTAGAACTATTTAATAATTTGCTTACCGGGCTATCCTGGGTGATGCTGGCCTTTCCTTTCATAGGTCTGATGAAATTGTAGAGAAACAGCAGCAACAATGCCAAGGGGATCATGTACAGTTCAAAATTCCAGAGAGTGACCACAAATACCTGGTTGGAAGATAAAATTAGACCTTCTGAACATTTGATGGAACAGTCTGGGTGGAGCTTATATTCCTATTCATTGACTCAAGGAGATTGAATCTATACACACACACACATACACACAATGATTAACTCAGGTCTAAAATAGGTAGAAAATTAGAGAAACATAGAATGACTTAGCCCACTATCCAATGAAATGGGTGAATATGGTACTTCATACAATGAAATCTCATTTCTCTACCAACCCTATTTTCAGGGTTCCCTACCAATCTCAATTTTTAGCGCCTGGATTTTACTGTGCCAAATCTCAGGGAAAGAAGAATTAGAAAAATTCAAGGTCACAAAAAGACAACTCACAGGTCAAATCTCCCTAATGGGCAGGTTTTTATGAACTAGAGGTGTTACTGGGGAGTGGGGTACTGTGGGCTCCTTCTATAAGTTCTTTCTAGGTTCTTCTCATCCTGAACAAAGACTTAGACAAATGCAAGTGGTTGTGAGGTTTTATATTTAATAAAGGTAAGAAAAGAAGTACTTTCTGCAGAGTGAGAGCGGGATACTGAAAGAGAGAGAGCACAATGGTCACGAGGTTAATGGCCAACGACTTTCATATCTACCATTCCTCAGGCTGATATTAATTAGACCAAGGTCATGCTATCAAAAACCTTGACCTTGTGCCAGAAGAACTGAAGATAGCATTTTCTGACTTGTCCCGGATGCAGCCCTTGGGCTGTTTTCCTGGGCATGTGTCCTAAGTCTCAGTGATTGACTGGTCATGCCAACCTGTCTAGCCAGCTGGCCACACCCTAATCTCCTGCCTCAGAGGGAATGATTAGGTTCTAAATTGGATCCCAAACTTTGAAAACCCAAATATTTCAGATAAAAATCTCAGATTTCCAAAGCCCTTTACAAATCTTAAAATATGCCAACTTTCTGACTACAGGAAAGTGTTTAGCATTGTCTACATCAAAGGGTGCACTTACCTGTCTAATTTTTGTCAGCCTCTGAAATATGTGTCCCTTGTGTTAAAAGCACAAGTAAGTGCTTGGGGTATCTGTGCAAGTATCTGTGCTATAGAGGTTGATAGAGAAAGGAACACACACAAAAAAAGCCCAACCTGCAATGAAAACACTAAGATAAATAAAGTCAGAATTTTTGATGCATATAGTAGAGGCATGAATAAAATGTGGGGCAAATTATATCCAAAGTTAAGCATCATTTTATTTTTAAATTTATAAGTAGTTCTCAAAGATGCAGGTGCAATAATTTGCAGCTATCAGCTCTGTCAGCTAGTAAGAAAAATTCACTGTTATAACCTATTAACTTAGAAGGGGAAAATTATTGTATTTTAAATATTGAATCAGTCTTTCCAAAGACAAAATTATTTTATTGTTGAAAGAATTTTTCTAACGTTTAAATTTTTTCTTTAGCAATTACATATCCTTTGCTTATTTTGGGTTGCTATAAACAAAATGATATCTTGAACTATGCTTTGAAACTAGTCATGATTTGCATATAAAAGTTAATGTTTCAATTAGTTTTTTATTCCCTTTGTGAGGTGTTTCTAAGAATATAGTCAACTATCCATAACAAATATTTTTTTCTTTTTCTAATATTTGCAAGTTTGTTCTTGATTAATTTCCTTATTCCTACCAAGCAATGTTAAACAAAACTGTTGAGAGGGATATTATTGTCTAATTTGGGATTTTAATGAAAATGCTTCTCGTGCTCCATTTTTCTACCATTAATCATGATGATGGCTCTCAGTCTGAGCTACACAAATCAATGAGGACTACAGATACAAACCATTTTAATAGTAGAAAATTCACCTCGAGGTTATTACTCTTGATATCTTTTAAATTTTCAAAGTATATTTTTATATCTGCTCCAAATGTAATGAAAGCATTTTAAACACAGGAATACTTCCATAAATTCTAACAGGGGCTTAGTTTAAAAAATTTGTATTCAGAAATGTTTGCAATAGAAAATTATTATATTCTTCATTTGGAGTTGGTACATGTGAAAAACACACCTTAATTCTGTTTCAATTCCATTCCCCTCCTCTCTCTCTATTCTTATTTCTTTTCTAAATTTGTGTGTGTGTGTGTGTGTGTGTGTATACTTATTGGTACTGGGGATCAAAGTCAGGACCTTGTGATTGGAGACAGGCGTGGTACCATTGAGCTAAATCCCCTGTCCAACAATTTTTTGTCTTCTTATTGTTAAAAGCCATGATGCATGATGCCTCGCCAACTGTACTTCTTCCTTCTCTTTTAAAGAGATTAGCAATGTGTATTTAACACCACATATTATGTCATGATGTATTTACATCATAATATTGAAGCAACCTTGTACTTCTAGGAGAATCCTCCCTTCATTGAAGTGTAACAGGTTTTGGGGGTATAAGACTCTTTTAATATATTGCTGTACTTTATTTACTAAAACTTGAAGATATTTTGCAGAGATATAAATTTACATGCATGTATCACTTGTTTTGGGGTATTCGCATTATTTTGGCATCAAACAAAATTTTAGCCTATGCTTTATTCCTTTATTTATATTACTAGATTGTTAAGATTATCAAAAATGCAGAAACTCTTTAACAATACCTAAGCACACCTCCCTCAAACAGTAAGACTTGTTAATATATTTTCTGTCATCATTCTTTCTGATTTTTCTTGTTTTTCCTCTGTTATTGTTGCTGTTATTTTTTCATTGCAGAGGACAGAACCCACGGCTTGTGCATTCTATGGCAAGCGCTCTGCCACAGAGGCACATAGCCAGCTTTTTAAAATATTATTTTGCTGAGTTGCCTAGGCTGGCCATGGATTTGCAGTCCTCCTGATTCAGCCTCCACAGGAGCTCAGAATATAGGCATCCGCCAACACACTTCTTTTTAAAAAAATAACACATTTCAAGTAGGTGATCAACCTTCTTAGTCTTATTGACCTGATTTCCAAAGGTAGTCTTCTCTTAAATGAAATCTTCTCACTTGCAGTTACCTTAGATTTACATTTGAAATAACATAAACATCAAAATGTTCATATAAATATAGCACAATTGTTTATTCAATATTAGGTTGCATAGTTCCACTGATGGTTTAAACAAACCTATTTTATTTAACTCATACGTTTTACCCATTCAAATGAATGTTCTTCAATTTATCTATTATATTCTCTTACCAATGTAAACTTACACTGAAACAGCAGTTTTACTTTTCAAATAGTTCAATTTGCTAGCCTTGATTTGTGCTTTCAATTTTCAAAATTCTTATTAAGGAATCCTATTTAACACTGAGATGATAAACCTACTTTCTTCTAAATGATAATTGTTTTGTTGTGTGTGTTGTCTTTATTTCACTTCATTTTCTTTAGTTCATAATTAGAAACAAGCATCCATTTTAATTTTATTTTTTTACCTTAAAGCTGACTTTTAGAACTGAATTCCTATAATGCTCCATAATTTTCTCACTGATCTACACTTCCATTTCTGCACAAAACTGCTGGAAAAGTCTCAATAGCTATTATAACAGGGAAGTTGCTGTGACAAAACCATTTCTGAAAATGTGATTATAATATATACAGCTAAAAATGTGTATTGACATATTTCTCTGTGGAGCATGACTTTTCATTTAGACCAAATGATTGCTCTTCTATATTGATTTGCCTCATTTTCTATTCCAAGGTTTCATTGGAGATATATCATCACATAAATTTCAAGTAATGTTAATTTTTCTCTCCTTCTAATCTATGTGCCATTAATATTTTCTCTCTGTGCTAAATCTCTATATTTTCTGATGAGTAAATGTGGGATTTTTGGAATAGTTTTTATGAATGAGGACTACTATATTGTTGATTATTTTTTCGCTAGTCTAATAATCTGTCATGCTTCACGGCCTTTTCTTGTTTGCTGTTTTATACATTTATTCTATTACTTTTATATTTTCAAGGTTAAGTTTGTTTCATTTTTAGGATATAATATAGTAACTTATCTACTAGGTAAAGATAGAGATTTCCTTAATTTAACTTATTTCGCTGTCACTGTTCTTAAATTTATTTGGGGATTAGAGATAGTAAATGCATACTACATAGTTGCTCTTTCTAAATATCTATTTATTGGTTAAATGGGATTTTATTTTTTACATTGATAAGTTATTTCAAGAGAGGTTTACAGGAAACTTAGTCAGAATGTCTCAAATTTATTTTCTTTATCATAAAGCTATTTATAGTACCTCTTTGAAAAAATCACCTGAAAATCAACCAGTACTAAAGAGCTAGCTGTGTAAACACTTCATTTTCAATATTTGCCTCTATCATCTTAGAAGTGTGTTACAACAAAAATGAGTCATTTTTAAATATCACATGCAACAGTTCTACATGCTTTTAGAGTGAGACTGTATAAAACCTTCATAAATAATTTTTAAAATTAGTATGTAAGTCCTACTTCAATAGTGAATGATTAATTTCCAATAAATATATCTTCCAAGAAAAACCAATACAAACCTTAGGGAAAAATTTCTTGAAAAAGACCAGCTATCTGGGCATTGAAAGGGGAGGGGAAAATTTGGGAGTTGAAATCAGACATGCGCTGCATGAAGTCACCTGAAAGTGTTTTATCTTTGACCCAAGTGCAGCTGTGGTCACAGTGATGGTACCAGTTGGATGACTCGCCAGAAACGATAGACAAATGGCTAAGTATAAGGCAATATTTTCATTTTATTTACTTCAGAACCCATATGACTATTAAAGCAACGCTTACATCATCTATGAGTTCACAATATGCTTAGATTGAATACATACAGACACTAAAACATCCAGGAGGGTGGAGGTGGATGAGCATATTATCTTATGTGCTGTTCTATATTTGTGCAAGGTGATACAATGTTAATCTTAAATTATGAAAAGTTAAGGGAAGATTGACTACACATTAATCCCTGAAGTTATCGCTTATTCTCGCACACATATGTGCACACACAAAATTGTAGGGAATAATAGATAAATTATAAGAGT